CTGACAGCTGCGGCGGCGGCGATGATGCAGAGGAGGAGGGTGCTGCCGGCGGCGGTGCTGATGGTGGCGGTCGGCGCCCGGGTGTGATGAGAGCGTCATGGTGGAGACGCTGGCTTCGAGGCGGTGAGAGAGCGAAGGAGGGCGAGAGCCAGCCAAGGGCGGAAGACAGAACAGTTCCGAGCGCGACCGCTTTCTTTCCTCTCTCGTTTTCCCCCCACTGTATTTTGCCCGTGGTTTGCATATTTAAAATCTCCGGACTCCATCCTCTCCCTACCCACGAAGTCTCCCCGTTTCTAAATGGAATTAGTGGAGATCGGAGCCTCTGGTGTAACGCACAGACATGATCTATGGACGCAGTTTGTTTCACAGTGAGTACCTCTCCAGCAGTGCCAGTCCGTTCCCGGGGTGCTGCCACCTCGCCTCTTGGCCCCATGCGCTGGGAAAAGCCCTGCCAACCACTCCAACCAGACCCCGCAGTCCCTTGGAGTCTGGGGCAGATGTAAACTTTCAGTACTGCAGCATCATACAGCCTGGCGGGGGCGGCGCACAGAGTGGCGCTGGACCTCAGAGTTGGTCAGGGAAAGCCCTTTTTCTGTAGGCAGGATCTCTGGGTGGTCCAGAGGAGCATGTAGTTAAAAAGTAGACACGTGCAGGAGATGCTGGGCCCCCGAGGGGATGCAGGTCGACACAGGGAGGTAGCAGGATTGATCTGTGCTGGGTAAGAAGGAATAATCCTCCTTTGTGGGGCTCGGCGGTTCAAGGGCCCACCTATTCCTCAGGTAAGCTGGCACACACCTGAACCGGGGGGTTAGGGCAGAGTACATCCCAGCCTCTGCCCCTAGAGCTCTAATTCTGCTTCAGAGTGTGGGAAAGGGTGGGGGTGAGACGGAGTGGAGGCAAACAGGTTCAGAAGTCAGTCATTAAAGGCAATGTCAGAAAATGTGTGGTGGGAATGTCATGTTATGAAGCAAGGACTGGCGGGCTAAACATGTGCCACTCTAGTAAGAGATCTTCGTAATTCACGAGTTCAGCATCACACAGGTTCTCTGTGTGATTCCACCAAAATAGGAAAAGAAGAGTAAAAAGGCCAAATGTACACACTGATACGCCTGGAGCATCTTTGTGCCTGTGGTGGGGGAGGGAGTTACAGAATTACAGCAAGTTAGGAAAGATCCACACACACACACACACACACACACACACACACACACACACACACACAACCAGTCTTTGAATCTTAGGAGTAGATGGATGACCTGGCCAAAGTATAAAGTAGTGCAGTTGATAATTACTGGAAACTTAATGTCAGGACTCAGATAATTTTTCTGAGAATAATGACCAGGCTTAGGTAAGATGGTTGGTTGATGTCCCCACTTCCTCCCCCTAAATTAGTTTCAGGAGGAAATGTGCAAAGGAAGAGCTTTTATGTAATTGGTCAAAATAAATAATCAAAATGCTTTCATTTTGAAGACATGTCAGTTATTACCAAGACCAGATGCATTTTTAACACTTTTCTAGTTTCAGGTTTCTCTTGACATTTCTGAGTGAAGAAAGAAGTAAAGAGAAGTTTAGATCCTCACAGCATTGCAGACGTACTGTTCAGTGGCAGACCAGAGTCTCTGACCCTGAACTGACTCCATGGATGCTTCTAGAAATCCCCTTTTTCAAAAATGTTGTCTGCTACCGGATAATAGCCAGTTTAGAACCACAGTTCAGGTTAGAAATGATGAATTTTGCAGCAGGAGAATGTCACACACAGGGCTAGTTGGTAATTGGGTTAGGTTTTTTTTTTTTTTTTTTAAACAAATAAGCAAAAACTAAACTAGCACAAACAATCAAACAAGCAAACAAAACCTTCCCAGAGTGCTGTTTCAATGCCGGACCAATCCACTTTGATCTGTTTTCTCTTGCACTCCCGCCCTACCTGTCATAGGTTTCGCAGAATTGTTTACATTCTACACTCCAAGTTTGTTGGCAATATGTCAGGGTGGATCATGGAGATTTGACTCTTCCCTTCTCCCTTCCTCTGTCTGCTCATGGTCCTCCTTTCCCTCTACAGAAGCTGACAGGTCTTAGCAAGGGGTCCTTTACTGCAGAGAGACCTGGAGACCTCCTGGCAGTGTGTGTAACATTTGCAGAGTGTAACATTGTTTATAGCTTTGAAGAGTTTGGGTCTCATTTGCTTTGAATAGGAAGTACTTCCTATGAGAGTCCCACTTTTACTTAGAACATTTTGAATTAGATTTCCAAAGTTCTGAGACACCTTTGTAAGGATTAACAATGATTAAATTATTCTATTTAGGTATCATCTTACCTGTAACTTGTCTTATGGTTTTACAAGGTTTGGTCATTTTGGTTGTGAATTTTAAATTTATACTTGTTCTTTTTTCTGTTTCAGTTATAGCAAGTTTAATCATCCTCCATTCCTCTGGAGCAACCAAGAAAGGAACAGGTGTGTTTTGTTTTTCTTTTTTTTTTGTTGTTGTTGTTGTTGATTAAAAAAAAAAAAAAAAGCTAATGGAGATGTCTAATTATTTTGCATTTTCCTATTTTACCATACCCATTCCAGAATAGCTGGACATCTCATACAGTGAATAATAGACTGGCCTTGACTAAAAGACTATCTTGAAATTAATTTACTAATGGATATTATGAGAATATCCTCTCTATTTTTGGTGTTATAAAATATTGGAAGATGGTTCTTTTAAAAATGTGTTTTGTTTTATAGAAAAACAAATCACTTCGGAAACACAGAAGTCAGTGCAGTGTGGAACTTGGACCAAGCATGCAGAGGGGGGTGTCTTTACCTCTCCCAATTACCCCAGCAAGTACCCCCCTGACCGAGAGTGTGTCTACATCATAGAAGGTAAGAGCGGAGAGATGCCAGGCTAGGGAGGCAAGCCAAAGCCTGGCCTTCTCAGGCCCTGCACGTGTGATGTGAACAGACATTACAAAATAACTGTGAATCCAGAATCAGGCTGATTTCTGAGATTATTAGAAATGGGTTATGAACACACAAATATCTGGTAAGGTAAATGAAACAACCACACAACTTAAAAGCTTTCTTTTCAGCAATCTGAAATAAAGATTATTATGAATTATTCTACAGTTCACATGCTATGTCAATTTGTGACATTCTGAAAACTAATATTTTACTGGTTTATTAATTATAATAGTTGATATGCTTGTTAGTGTTTTCTTCAATACTATCAAGCAACAGAGAACCACGTGAATGGCAAAGTTGTATCTGCAATTGTGTTTTCTAAACATTAATTTGAATGGCATTTAAAATCTTTTTGTGTATTTGCAAGTGAGATGATCATATTTTCAAGTCAGCCAAGTTTCTAACTTATGGAGCTCTCATCCGTTTTCCAACCTGAAGGACAAAAAGTATTTTTAAAAAGATTCCCCCTCTGAATAGTTTCCATTTCTTTTAACCTTGAGCCACTTCTCTGTTAAACATAGAGAAAGCTTTTAAAATATGTGAACATGTCTCCCAGTGATGAAGGAAGGCTACATTTTAAGTGTTAATTCCAAATAACCCAGAACTTGGTACCCTCCACGCCATGTACACCCACAGGCTAAGTTATGATAACAGAAAATCATGACTGCATAATGTCTCCCCGTAAACCAGGGTTGTGATCACAGGGTAGATCTTTCAAAAAAATAAAATAAAATAAAACAAAACAAAACAAAACCCTCTGGGTTCTGTTTCTCTAATTTTGAGAGATCCTGTTTAGAAATGATTTTTTATTCTTAGTTTCACCCATAAGTTAGGAATCTTCATCTTCCTCTTGCATTGCATAATGTAGGAACTTTTATCAAAAATAACCTAAACTACATAAAGTTTGATATTTAAAGGATAAAACAAACCAACTCAGACATCTGGCAGTTTGCATCTCTAGAAGATGAAAATATTGAGTTTTTTGTTTGAAATCAGCTATTTTTTATTTTTTAATCAAGTTTGTATTAGATATTAATTATATGTGTTAATATATTATAAACTTTGAAAGATTTTTTTTCTTTTTGAGACAGGGTTTCTCTGTGTAGTTTTGCAGCCTGCCCTGGGACTTGCTCTGTAGACCAGGCTGGCCTTGAGCTTACAGAGATCCACCTGTCTCTGCCTCCCGAGTGCTGGGATTAAAGGCATGCACCACCACCTCCTGGCTACTTTTGAAGGACTTATTATTTACCCAAAATATTTACTCATAGGAAGGTGTCTTTGTTTTGGAAATTAGAAAATGGAGGCATGTAGAAACTAAACATCTTGCTGAAATTAAAAATATTCATATTTGAAAGAACAAAACAGGGCATGTTTCCTGTGAGTTGTGCTTTCTTGTGTATTGCTTTGGTACCTTTACAGGTACTGCTCACCTTGACTGTGGTAGTTTTCATATAGTTGTATTTATATCAAGGACGAAATAAAGTGAGAAAACGAGCAGAAACTCTCTTCACTCTTAGTATTGTTTTGATGTTGTCCGTAGACACTTCATACGTTAAAATCATGTCATAGTGACATTTTTTATGGAT